GTCAATAAGAATATTTACATGAATGAAATTACGGCACGAAGGAATGAAAACATGTCATTTGCAATTTCAAATTGTTCGAGAATAGCATTTCTTTTTCGATTGTTTACTATGTCGAAATTGTCATAATAACTCATTTATACTTGATAACTTACCCTCTTGCATATTTAGAAAACAATGATAATCGTTATGTTTGTGACGTGTTGTTTGTCTCATGTGAACTGAATGAAGATTGCTGAATGAATGTGAATTCACCATGTTTTTTTTCCTTTCTTTCTTTCTCCCTTTCTTCCTTTTCTTTCTTTCTTTCTTTTTTTCTTTCTTGGTGTATCTCACTTGCTATTTTTTTTTTGTTATCGACAAGAATAGTAAGACGTAACAAGTAAAAACGGTAAAGTGAAAGGGAAAGAGAGAAAAAGAAAAAGCATGTGTGAGGGAGCGAATATAGTGGGCGATAATTAGGTGACGAGCACGAGCACTTGCTTGACGTTGTTGTTTTTGTTGGTGGATGATGCAAACGACGTAGAAAAAAAAATCATACGCACAACAGAACAATGAAAAAGACAATGAAGAAAGGCGAAAAAAACCTAATGTTTTCTTTCCATCGAATATTATAAATCACCTGATTTAGTGAATGACATAAAAGCCGGTAAAGAAAAAAACAAGTCAAGCTATACTAGTTGTTCATCAGTAAATATAATTGAAGATTGATGAATAGTGTTTGATAAACTAATAATTTAATATTTCTCTTTTTTTTCTTCCTATTATTTTAATATTTAAACTATACGACAATATTTGTCGCTATTATAAGAAAAAGAAATAAAATACTATTTCGTAGACATATGAAAACCAGACAAAACCATGTCTAATACAAATTTCATGGTTTTTTTTACATTTTTTTTTATGCTTACATACGTCTACTATTGATGAAATATAATACAATACGAAATTAAGTAAAAAGAAACCTACATAGTGTATTACAAATTATTATATAGAGTACAATTTCATAATCACTAATTTTGACATCAAGATTATGACTTAATCAGATCACAAATGAAGAAATTTAGATGAAATATTGTTTTCATATATTGAAAATGATATTAAGACATATTTTTTGACATATAAATAACATATGAATGCTTACGTTAGCATTTGTTGCTGTACAAAACTTGTGTTCGTCAATAATTTTCCTTAATGATTAAAGATTCATCAAGAAATCTATACATATAAATAATAGATCTTGATAATTATCTTCAGTTATTAATATGATCATCGAAAATAATTGTTAAAGAAAAAAACTAGAGTTCATTTCCTAACAGAAACCTGAATAAAAGACAGCTTAGATGAAAATCTTTCCAGTCCAAGATCATGTTGAGTACACGAGTTAAGGTGACCTAGGCAAAGAATATTTGTTGATCAAATCAATATTTACTGTGAAATTCTTCGTTTATTATTCTATAGACTTTTGTATAACATTCTTTTTTCAATTTATTTCCAATCAAACTTCCGATTTCCACGCTTGAACTTTAATTAATCAATTAGTGTAAATATAGAATACACAAATAGCTATATTATTCTTTATTTTTTCTAAGGCTAATCAGAACTTCTTCTACAATACTCATCTCACTAAGAAAATAGATCTATAATGGTAGATGATCATGTCTACTTAATGGACGTTGTTATGTCTACTTAATGAAAGACGCATAATCTTCATAATATATCCGTTACGTTATTCTGATAATCAAAGAAAGAATGATGGAGCCATTTGCGCATGAGCACATGCATATACATAATTATACAAGATTCTTCAACGAATAAATAATATCTAGATGTTTCTAGAAAATAGACAATTGATTGACATTTGTTAAGTGAATCACTTAGGAATACAATGACCCTTTTCTATAACTCGACCATAAAAGATAATAATGATAAGTATCCAACCCAGGCTAATCATTATCGTATTTTAAAGTTCTTGATATTTATATATTAGACTTCATTTAGATAAAATCATCAATTTTCTATCAAACTAAACAATATCCTATTAACTTATCAAGAATAAATAAATCATTATTGGAATCATGTTTATCATAGAATTTCAGGACAAATACATTGTTCTATATTAAACTATTAGATATTGACCGAAAAAGACAATCTTTCTTTTTCTTTAAATAGATCATTGTACATTTTTGTGAACAATTTACATCGTTATATATCTATTTAAAATATATGCATATATTTGTTATTAAAAAATACAAACGAATATCTAATTTTATCGAAATTATTTGTACTATATGTGTTTCTATTTATGTTCATGTACTTATTTGACATCATATATATTTTAACAGTTGTATGTCAATTTTCTTTTTTTGATAGATTTCCGTTTTGTCAAAAGCTTAATTGATATTCCTGTTTCATCGAAAATGAAAAACGACTGTTCTTATTTTGTTGAAAAATTTAATTGTAGTGAAAATGAGTATAATCAGAATGACAAGCTCAATTTCTTTAATTGACTTAAACTATTTCCTTTAAAAGAAACTAATTGATATCCCTATACTAATAATCTGTAATTTTGCAAAAAAAAATATATATGTGGAGAGAATTATTATAATTTTAAAAGTTTAAAGACTAATAATCATGTCGAAGAATGGCATCATCAATTAAATAATGATTTAGATAATGCTGTACATCCGTATTTTTGTCTATTCATTTGAGCAATTTAAAATGATTATGCTTATAATTTAGTAATATTATCACGTCATTTAGTAACTGGTATATTACTTCCACCAAAAAAGTTATTCGTAAATTGAAATGTACGATTACATAATTTAGAAGGGGAGACAGCCGTTAGTCGAATGATATTTCGTCGACAGTTATTTGGTCGAAAATTACTAAAGTAGTAACATTTACTATTTGTTCTTTTACAGTCAGTATATACTGACTGTAAAAGAACAAATAGTAAATGTTACTACTTTAGTAATTTTCGACAAAATATCTTTCGACAAAACGTCTTTCGACCAAATAACTGTTGACGAATTTTTCTTCAACTAAGTATTCTTCGACGAAAATTTTTCGACGAATAATCATTCGACCAACGGCTCCCTTCTCATTTAGAACGTTTTAAACAACAAACATTAATATTAAAGGGATATTTTGAAAAATTTATGCGATTAATCGGAATAAAAAAGTATTCATTTTTTTCTTTGATATATCCATATTTTCTCTTAATAATTTCTTATTTATGTATCTAAATCTGCTCTATAATAAATTTTTTTTTTGACAAATTTATCTACAAGTAATTAGGCATTATTCTTGATTAGTATGATGAAAAAATCTCATCAAATGATAATCTATTCTTCATTGATTAATTAGAATTTATTTTTACGACCAAACAGCAAAATTAACTAAACTTTCGACGAAACGGGCCCTAACCTCTTTTTTTTTGTATTCGAGAAAATCCAATATCTGAATATTTAGATTGTAATAAAATAAACTAGAAAAACTTACCGGAAATATTCCTGTAAATATTTATTATCATAATGAATATTTTATATTAGTTTTATGAAAACATAATATGTCACTTGTTTGTTCAACAAAATATCATACATGGATATAAAAGGTCTTGTACAGAGAATATCATGATAAAGAAAAAAACAAAAACGACGACGAATAAACAATAACAATGAAATGAACTGGAATGATGTTAGTTGACTAGAGGGAAAGTTAAAAGAAACAAAACAGAAGAAATGATTATTTTACATATCGAGAAAGACAAATATAAGAATCGATTAAGCGGCGTGCATACTATCGTCGTCTTATTACCTTGTTTTATTTTTCTTTCATATATGAACGAGATCATTGTTTACCTCGATGTAAATGTACATTCAATAAGATACGCATGTAAATTTTGACTATAGATGTATCTCTATCGAATATATATATTAGTTTATCTTTCTTCTTGATTATTTTTATTAGAAACTACGAAATATAATGGACGTCGTCGGATAACAATCATCTTATTTTGAAATACAGTAAAATAAAGAGACAAGATTCATTTAACAATTCTTTTTCTTATATTAAATCCTAATTAGAATAATTTTATTTCATTGATTTATATAATTAACAAAAAAAAAAATGATTTTTATACTTTTTTTAATTGTGGTAAACATAAATTATAAAACGAACTTGATACAAAATCGTTCGGTACATTATACCATTTTAAATAACCTGATTCACGTAATTTATTTATCGATGTAAAACTTGGACCGGAATAATGAGGATCCTATATAAGAAAAACAAAACCACTAATTTATTCATATAACTATTTTTGTTTATTAATTTAAAATATTTACAAGTATTAAAAGTTGTTTATTCGATCGTACAGCAAGAATACATTTTGAAGCAGCATCAGCATCACCACCCATCATTATCGGTGAACCAAAATCATGAAAATGTTTTGAAAGTAGATTCATATAGTTTAAAAGATTATAACCATTAGATATATGAATAATTTTACAATCAACCTAAATAAATTCGAATTTGAAATAAAATTTAAAAAAAAAAAATTTACATCATAAAGTTGACTCAGTATCATTGTTGCTTCACATGTACCAATCCATTGTTTAGATTTAATAAAAGATACAGATTTATCTTCAAGATCCACAAGAATTTCTTGAATTTTAGTTATAGAAGGAACTATAGAAGTTGAATATTCTTCTTTAACATTAATTATCCATGAACATAATGTTTGCAATGTTCGATATCCACAACCCCAACCACGATCATCTTGTTCATCACATTTATAATGATAAAAATACAAAGTACCACGTACAATATCAATAGTTTCATCAATTTCATCAAGAATTTGATCAATTTTAAGTAGCATCTAAAATCATTGAATAGTTTTTCATAAATCTTCATAATTGCGCTTTCTATTTCTTTTTTTTTCTTGATTTCTTTGAATAATAATCATTTTTGTATATATAAAAGCAATCATTATAAATTTGATGTATTATGTAAATAAACAAATAACTAAAACATTTGAGCATTTACTTAATTCACATTGTAAATATAATTCAATTAATAGTTTAATATCATCACCAAGAAAATCTCGTATTTTATATCGAATCAATCAAGAAAAACTTAAGAAATATAATTCTCAATATAATTCAAAATATAACAATGAACATTTTATATCGAATGAAAACATAAATTTCTATATTGAAGAAAGAAAAGAAAATTCGATGATACCAACAATACAAATCTTATCAAAAAAAATAATTAATCAAAAGACAATAAGTACACAAACAGAATTTAATAAAAAAATTGATTTGTCAACAGATTTAATTGGTCAATCTGTAAATACTCTATCAATTATTCCCAAAAGTAAACACATCGATTATTTCTAAAAGACTTTTAATTAATTTTTTTTTGTATTCATGTGATTATAAATCTTTTAGATAGTTTTATTGATTTATTTGTTTTTAGTAAAAAGTAATTATTACAATGAAAAAGACACTGAACCATTAAATACCTTCCCATCATCTTCATCATCATTTTTCTCTTCAGCATCTAGTACTAATAAGACAGCAATAAAAAATTCGAACTCAACAAGTATTCAATTAGATTCATACAATAAATCAAATAGAGAAACAACAGCAATGAAAATTAATTCAAATGAAAGTCAGAACTCTGAATTCAATAACTATCCATCTAAGCCACAATCAACAAATTGTCGTGTTTATATTCGATCAATTGTTCAACATATGTTAGATGATGAGATATCCAGTGATGAATGATGTTGAATCAATCGATAATCGAATAAATTTAAATACTGAAATGACCTCTCAATAGATTTCGATATAGGTGTGAATGTGGACCTTGAAAAAACACAGACTCGCACCTACACTTACATTCATGCCCTATCTTCTTTCAAATAATGAACGGAAAGTAAATCTTTTGTAGCGAATCTTATAGTTTTTCGAGAAATAAGTCAATTAAAATTGAAAACTAATCAACGGACAGTAAATCGTGCATACGAGGTTTTTTTGTTTTATCAAGAAGCACTTTAATTAAACTTTTAATACTCAGAATTTTTTCTCTTTACATCGTCTATACAAAGTACTCTTCATCTATACAACAAGTGTTTATTATGAATAAAATCTACAATTAAAAGATCTATTCCTTTCCTATACAACCAATGATATCATTTTCGATCTCAAATAATATTTAATATAATCATAACTATATAATTCTTCATCATTTATTTCTTTTTTTTTCTTGAATAAAACAAAGAACTGAATGAACTAAATGAATAAATCATGAAATAGTTTATTTGATTATTTTTTAAATATAAAATGAAACATTTCATACGAAATTATCATTATCAAAAAGAAGTCGTTCACTAGCATGACCCCATGAAGCTTGTTTTTCTTTACTTAATTGAATTTTTTTTATTAATAATTCATTCATTTGTGGACCACTATCACTAGCAATCTTTGATGAAAAAAAAAATCAGTAAAGATTATTAGAATATATTCCTTGTTTTTTTCTATAAATAAAACATACTTTTGCCATTGAACGGATATTAAGTAGATCAAGACTGCCTCCACCATCTTTATTCATATACACAATAGAACCAGACGGTTTTATTCCATAAGTTATTCTACAAAAAAGACAACGACTGAAGAAAAACCAGAAGAAGATTTATTATACCTTGCTAAAGTAACTGAATCTTCTTTAATTGTTGTATCAACAGTATGAACTCCACTGATCTAAATTAATTATATAAATAATAATTTTTATGTTTTTCGTTTGATTGACTTACTTGTCCAACAGTAATAAGTACAGGTAAATTTGATACATCAAGAACACCATATTCATATGGATCATCACAGACATCAACTGAAACTTCATTAGTTTCTTCATCATGAGTCACTTTTAAAGCTGGAACTCTAGATTAAATAAAATATTTTGTCATTAAAAATTAATCATTCTTCATTTTGCTTTTATAATTTTTACTTTGTTTCACTTAATGCAGCTTTCATGGCAAATGAACATGCATCATGAAGATTTCCTTCGTATCGTAGAACCTTTTATATACATAAATTTAAAAAAAAAAAAGAAATGAACAAATAAAAATAAATTTTCAAGTCAAGATATTTTTTAATACATAAAAATCTAATATATATCTTTCGAAAATTATTTCTTTATCAAAGTAAAAAGATTCTGTATTGGTTATGAATATTTGGAAAACTGTATAATGTGACGTTTTGCATAACATATCGAATTCTATTATTTAAGCTAGAGTATTAACTGTTCTGTGACTACTAATAAGTGTATTTGTATATAATTAATATAATTTTATTTGTTGACTAAAATACAATTTACAGATATCTAAACTGAATAGACTAATGTAGATTTTCATCAGAATCTGAGAAGTATTCGTAATTTTACTTCAAGAAAAAGTAGAAGAATATAATATTTTAAAACATAACAAAGTTCAAGCTTTTTTTTTTCTATCTCAATAATTATAATCTGAGACGAGCAAAGAATATTTTGCATAGTGTTCTTTTACAGCATCGTCATATTACAAGGACATCGTAATTTTTGCATATATATATATATATGTAAAAATGTTTTTCACTATTTAAATATATATCAGAGATGTTTACAGGACAGGATTAGATATTTATACTCGGAAAATTTAAATATCAAATTATTAAGTTTTCATCTCTAAAAAGAGCGTTTTTTGAATTTTGAGTGTTACAAGTCGAAAATAAATTCTGGAGGGCCATACCAACTAATATTCAGAATTTCCATCTATAGATATGATTTCGAATGAAAATAAATAAAATCACTATCGAAAAATTGTTTTTATATTTCTTATTCTCATTCTTTGATCGTATTGAAGCAATAGGTTAACTGATGAGTTTTTATCTTGTCATGATTACTCAACTTCAAATTCTTATACTTCTGAATAATTAAAGTAATTCTTATTGAAAAATAGACCAAAGATTTTATCTTGAAAATAGTAATTCAATCAATGCATCGACACCTTGAAGACGTACTTTTGAAATGTATAAACGTTATTGATTTTGAACTCGATTGAAAAATACATTTTAGACTAGTGCATCAATTTTGCAGGGTAGCTTGCCTTGTCTGATCCAATGAAGTAAGGCAATGTATGAAAATATCATCCTGTGAACATCTCTGATTTTGTATATCTGAGTTAATTGAAGACTATCTGAATAACACAAGCTTAAATCATTAATAAACAAATCTAACGAACAATTTCACAAAATACATTTATTTTAGCAAGAGAAGTAATAGATGAAAATTCAAGTTATAAGTTTTGAAAAATACTTACAGATATATCAACATGAACAAGCCAACAATGATGTCCTTTAACAACACATAATTGAGTTAAATCAAAACATTTTGGATTATTAAGTATATAATTAAGACTTCTAGCTATTTGTTTTGTATATTGTCTTCTATGTCTTCCAAATATTCTCAATGATCGACAACCACTTCTAAAATAAATAATAATAATAATATTCGCGCGTATTTTTAACTGAATTATTTTTCGTTAAATAAAAAAAAAACAGCAATTAAAATGAGATTAAAAGAATATCGTATTCCAATTCCTTTAAATCTGGATGAATATCGTCTTGGTCAACAATGGACAGAACTTGAATTACTTAAAGAAAGTTTACAAACATGTTCAACATGTATAACAATTTATGATAATATAAGTGAACAAGAACGTTTAGATATAATTAATGAAAAAATTCCTTTAACATTAAAAACTAATATAACATCATCAACATTAATGACACATAAAAAATATAATATTAAAGATCAAACACCAAAATTTCTTGAATTATTTTTTTTTAAATCTAAAAATGATCTTATTTTAGATGAATATTCATGGGATAATTGGCCATATACATTAACAATTATTGAAAATATTGATTATTATATACGTATTATAATACAAAGTTATTATAGAAATAATAATTTATCATTTATAAATAATAATAATTCACAATTATATTTTACACTTAATAATGAACAAATAAAATATTTAAAAGATTATGAAATAATTAATATAGCTGAAAGATTAGATGATAAAAAAGATTATCGATTAGATGAAGATCCAACAAGAAATTTATCAATAAAAAAACCAAATATTTTACCATTACAATTAAATACAAAATGGTATGAAAATTGGTCAAATAATCAATCATCTATGTGTGTTTATAAATTAATTGAACTTATTATATTTAATGAAAATAATGATGAAAAATCATTTTTAACAAAAACAACAAATAAAATTTTAGTAAACAAATATTTTATAAATTTATTTTTTTCTATTTTTAAAATAGTTCTTTCTATATTTTTTTTTTCAAGTGGTCATCAATTATTAAAACACAAAAAATGATTTATCATCGTTTTCATCAAAAACTGATTAGTAATATTGATAAATGGATTGATAAAACATTATCGGATATTTATGAAGAAGAAAAATTATTAAAAAAATATATTTTACAACAACAACAAATTCAATTAAGAGATTTAAATAAACAACAAAAATAATTTTCAATAACTTACCCATCAACAGTTGCTTCAATTCGACCTTCATTTGGTTTTTCTTGACTTGCACGACTAAATTCAAATGTAACACCAACCATAACTACAGTTCCACCCTAAGATAAATATTTATTCTAGTTCGCTTTTTTTTTTTCTTTTTTATTAAATCTTATTTGAAAAAAGATTTTACTAGTTTAAGAAGACATGAACCATTAGCAGTATTTATAACATCAGTAGCAAGTAATAATGGACGATAGGTACGACAATTGCGACCATCATTTCGAAAATTTGACTAATTAAAAAAGAAAAAAGAAATAAAGAATTTTCAAATAAATTAATTTAACAACGAAATTATAATTTAGAGTTTTTATTTATTAGAAAAATCAACTTTATAAATATCATCTTATATTTCAACATGATAGATTTTGAAAGTTTTTTTCTTTTGATTATGAGTCATAAAACAATCTTTTATTAGTAATTGACGAATTAGTTTACTAACAATATTTTATTGCAAATAGAGATTAGAAAAAAAATTCTCTATTACATCTTTGTTAGTCTAAGATATAGTCAGTAAAATATCATTACATGTCGAGTATTAGCAATGAAAAGATTGAAGAAATAGAAGTAAATAAGCAGGATCAAAATATAACTCTCTTATTACGTATGATTAATTCTATTAATATGATAATAAGAATAGAAAAATGCACTTTAGTACAAAAGTCATCAGATGATTCATGTCATTCTTAATAACATTTTGTTTATATGTCACTAACTTGATTCTAAGAAGAATCTTATAGAAGATTTCGATTGATAGATGGGCTTTCTCTGATGGTTATGATCATTTTATTGATGTTTCAAGCTGGTGGTACCAGATATTTATAGAAAACTGAAATTAACAAAATTTTAATCTAAATTTTTTATTGTGATACAATTCTTCTAACACTATCAAATGTTCAGTACATTTTTCAAAAAACAAAATTGTCTCATAATCTATAATCTCTGAAAACACTGAGCTTTCTAATCATTTAATATTATCAACAGTATACTTTTTTTCTCATTGAAACTTTTGGAATGTTTTAGTCACTATAAGAACTATATTTCAGTAAAATTTTCAATTGAAATTCTATTATTTGAGATTTGTGTAAATATCTAGTGATCGTTCAAAAAATCACTAATATAGCCATGATTTTCAAAGTATACTTCA